TTCCGGGGGGATTCGGTAACTTCCGCGAGCCTCCGCGGAAGGGAGCGATTGCTTCCGGGTCAAAAGGCGGGGCGCTTCTGTGGACGCCGCCATTTTGGTGGAGGGCGCCGCCATTTTGGTGAAGGGGACGCCATCTTGGTGAAGGGCGTGATCGTGACCTCACTTGGACTCCCTACTTGGAGGGGCCAGAGAGGGGGCCGCCCCCTCCAATGACTGCCCCATCTCCCAGGCCAGCCCGCAATTGGGCACCATGGCTGTTGCCACAGCAACGCTGTAGCAAGGGGTGTTGAGGCTGTTCCCCACTCTGGCACTCCGAGTGCAGAGGGGACGCCATCTTGGTGAAGGGCGTGATCGTGACCTCACTTGGACTCCCTACTTGGAGGGGCCAGAGAGGGGGCCGCCCCCTCCAATGACTGCCCCATCTCCCAGGCCAGCCCGCAATTGGGCACCATGGCTGTTGCCACAGCAACGCTGTAGCAAGGGGTGTTGAGGCTGTTCCCCACTCTGGCACTCCGAGTGCAGAGGATGGGTGCCCCCAAGACACCCTTAGAAATAGCGTATCTCTTTGTAGGGTTGCCAGATGGTTTAAAAAAAAAACAGACAAAAATTTGATACAAATTTGTCAAGCAAAAGAAAAAAAAAAGTGCCAGGGAGTAACCAGGGAGACCTGTGGGGGGTGGGATTCGGGAGGTCGGGCCGAAATGCAGTCACTGCCTCTTTAATTGCGACGTTCAATACCAGACACCTGGCAACCCTACTCTTTTGGCTCTGCTTAAAAGCCTCCCCCCCCCCCCCACTCCCGGGCCCCAGTGAAAAACCCCTTTCTTCTTGAAGGCAGGAAGAAGCACTTGGACGTCTTCCAGAGGGGCACCCCCAAGCTCTTTTCCCACAAGAGAGCTTGGAAAAATAGAGAAAACAAACTGCAGTCTCTGATAGCTGACCTCTCCGTCTTAGGCATCCACATACACAGACCTCCTATTACCTTCCAGGACACAAGAATCAAATCATCGCCTTAAAACAAAAGATGATTTTAGTAATAAAACAAAAAGATATACTTGGTAAAGCATACTTGGTTACTAGGAGTTTTAAAGCAACTGAGAGAAGAACAATTTCAAAACAGAGAAATTCCATCTCTGGGATACAGCTTAAAGTTACAGTGTATGAGGGGGGGCATATAGCTTTATCCCAGAGAAGTTTAACCAAGCAAAACAAAGAAAATAACCTGACAGCATCTAAATAGACATTTCCTTAGCTACCCACAATCTGTGCTTCAAGGACCTGTGAGGTTTTCTTTGTAGGCATGGTAGTTCTGTCTGGTTCAATTCATATTGTTCCCCCAGCTCTTGGTTTAAACTCACACAAAGGAAAACAGCAGGCAGGTATATCTTCCAATTCAGATCCCAACACCTTCTCCCATTGGCTCTCCTGGCTCCCTGCCAACACCCCCTATTTACCTGAGTTTCACCCTTTAGTCACCAAATGCTGGGATGTTCAGAAAAGGTCCTCCCATTTATCAAATAAAGACTGTGCCCTGGTGACAGGTGGTGCCATGAAGCTCATTGCTATGGCAGTGGGACACCCAATCCCATCAAACCTGCTCCCATTGCTATGACAGGCTCAGCATCCCTCATCATGGTGGGCCTGGCCCCGTGCCTAGAGCCCCAGACTAGCCAACTTTCATGGACCCCTGCTGTGGCAGCCAGCCTGTGTCACAGACATGCCTCAACCCAGCCCCTCAGGTGGGTGCTGCACAGACCAGACCTCAGAGCCTGGGCAAGGGATACACCCAAGGCCCCCTGCAGGCCAGAGAGCTCAGGCGGCCTGAGGCCGTGTCCTCTCTGCTGCAGCATGCTGCCCATTCCAGGCCTGCACCAGTTCCCACCCCTCCATCCACCCTCTCCCGGGACACTGTATCCCCAGCTCTGGGGCGGCCATATGGCAGGGGTGGGCAATAATTTTTTGCCAGAGGCCACTTCGGGAATTTTTGAAGTGTCCCCGGGTCACACCGGAAGGGACGGGTCACTGAACAGAAAGGGAGGGGCCAAGATATTTTGGGTTCCCCACCTCCGGTCAATGATCATTCTGGGGGTGAGGGAGTGCCTTTGCCCCCACCCCACGTTCCCCAAAGGTGCCTATGCCCCTGGGTGTGGGAGGAGACTTCCCTTGATCCCCTGCCGCTAGGCCAATTAGGACCTGGGGGCGGGGGAGTGTGCGAAGCCTCCGTTGCTCTGTCCCCACCCTCCGAGCAGCGTGTGCTCCTGGCAGGGCGGGAGGAGGCTTCACATGATCCCCTGCCCCCAGGCCCTAATTAGCCTGGGAGCAGGGGAGCAGTAGGGATTCCACAGGCCGGATCCACCCATTTGATCCAGCCTGTGCAGGCTCTTTTTTCCTACCCCTGCCTTATGGTGACCTGCTCCCACAGTTCTATGATCTGATACCGCACCCACATCAGGGTGTCTAGCCTCCTTGTCTTGCCTGCCACAGAAGCCCAGGTCCTCCCATTTATCAAATAAAGACTGTGCCCTGGTGACAGGTGGTGCCATGAAGCTCATTGCTATGGCAGTGGGACACCCAATCCCATCAAACCTGCTCCCATTGCTATGACAGGCTCAGCATCCCTCATCATGGTGGGCCTGGCCCCGTGCCTAGAGCCCCAGACTAGCCAACTTTCATGGACCCCTGCTGTGGCAGCCAGCCTGTGTCACAGACATGCCTCAACCCAGCCCCTCAGGTGGGTGCTGCACAGACCAGACCTCAGAGCCTGGGCAAGGGATACACCCAAGGCCCCCTGCAGGCCAGAGAGCTCAGGCGGCCTGAGGCCGTGTCCTCTCTGCTGCAGCATGCTGCCCATTCCAGGCCTGCACCAGTTCCCACCCCTCCATCCACCCTCTCCCGGGACACTGTATCCCCAGCTCTGGGGCGGCCATATGGCAGGGGTGGGCAATAATTTTTTGCCAGAGGCCACTTCGGGAATTTTTGAAGTGTCCCCGGGTCACACCGGAAGGGACGGGTCACTGAACAGAAAGGGAGGGGCCAAGATATTTTGGGTTCCCCACCTCCGGTCAATGATCATTCTGGGGGTGAGGGAGTGCCTTTGCCCCCACCCCACGTTCCCCAAAGGTGCCTATGCCCCTGGGTGTGGGAGGAGACTTCCCTTGATCCCCTGCCGCTAGGCCAATTAGGACCTGGGGGCGGGGGAGTGTGCGAAGCCTCCGTTGCTCTGTCCCCACCCTCCGAGCAGCGTGTGCTCCTGGCAGGGCGGGAGGAGGCTTCACATGATCCCCTGCCCCCAGGCCCTAATTAGCCTGGGAGCAGGGGAGCAGTAGGGATTCCACAGGCCGGATCCACCCATTTGATCCAGCCTGTGCAGGCTCTTTTTTCCTACCCCTGCCTTATGGTGACCTGCTCCCACAGTTCTATGATCTGATACCGCACCCACATCAGGGTGTCTAGCCTCCTTGTCTTGCCTGCCACAGAAGCCACCAGCCTCCTCAGTGTTAAACACAAGAGCCAAGGTGCAGTGCTCGCTGAAACTCAGGCCAGATGTAGTCGCCCTCAGGTTCTGGAGTGGCCACGGCCCCCTTGGAGCTATTTAACGGCTGGCCGTAGTGCAGCCAGTTGTTAGAGTGCAAGAAGACGGTAGACGAGTCGCGATTCCTCTGCCATAGCGTTGTCTCAGACATGCTGGCGATGGAGCAGAGCTGCAGCGCCCGGGGAGCTCTGAGTGTCTACACAGAGTGCCTGGCCTGGCCCCACCAAAATGCAGCCACCTCTGGGGAGGAGAGAGTGGGCTGGAGAGACAGGAAGGAGCAAGCAAGATCCCCAGTGAGTCTTCAGTGTCTGCCAGGGGCAGACAGAAGTGGCGTGTGAAGCAGTCCAAGCTCATTTCACCAGCCCCTTTGGAGCAGAGGGGAGTTGATAGCCGGGAACACCCCCCTCGCTCCCCCTTACAGCCTCTGCAGAAATGGTGCCTTCTTTTCTCCCCTGAACAGGCACTTCAGGCTGCCACGGCCTGCCCCAGACCTCCCCTCCCGTCTCAGCCAGGCATAGGCAAGTGGTGCCTGCAGCGGAGGGTCACCCAGAGGAACAGGGGCATGAAGGAGCACTCCATTTAGCAGTTAAGATGTTGGCAGTGGCATAGGGGGGCAGTGCTCCTTCCATGTGCTGCCATGAGTCACCAATGCAGGCAGGGCTGCCCTGCCCACCCTCAGTGCTTGATTTTCAGTGCAGCAGCTGCTGACCCCAACGCTGGCTCTTGACCAGGGGATGGGGTGAGAGCTGGGTGGGGGCTTGGGGCAGGCAGGCAGGTTGAGCTGTGGGGGGCCGGGGTGGCTGAGGAGCAGGGCGCATGGCGGGGGTTCCTCTCACCAAGAAAACCAAGCCCCAGGTTCAAATCCAGCCGGAGTCATTGGTGCCCAAGAGCCCCTGGGTGAGATGAGTTTGGCAGGTCTTGGAGAAGGGGGATGGGCATCCCTGTCCCTTAAAGCACAAGCCGCGAGCCGGAGCCTTGTGCAGCAGGCCCGGCTGAGAGACATGGAGACCACCCCATGCTCTACTGCAGCCCGGTCAGGGGCCCTAATGCAAGGCAAAGGCACAGCTTGTCGGGGGAGGGCACTCCCTGGCAGGTGGAGGCTGCGACTCTCCAGCCCCACTGCAATCCCACCCTCACCAGGTAATTGCACCCCTGTCTCCTGCAGATGGGGAGGGGGGGCTGGGCCATAATGCCCATAGGGTGGGGGAGGGCATGGAGGCAAGTGCATTGAGGCATGTGGCCAGCAAAGAGTGCCTGTCCCTCACTCCCCCCCCCCCCCGCCCAGCAGCACTGAGTGCAGGAACCAGCTGTGCCCTTGATACCAAGCCCTGGCTCCGCCTCTCTAGTCCCCGCATGGTGCCCCCCAGGGAATCCCGCCCAGTCCTGATGCCCATCCCCTGGCAGCCTTGGGGCAGGCACTGCTCACCAGCACCCCCATGCTGAGTGACCGGGAGCGCCAGCAGCAGGAGGCTGCGCCAAGGGGACACCCAGCCCCCGAGTGCAGCAAAGGAGGTGGGGATTGCCTAGGGGCAGTGGATGTTGCTGGCTTCCCCTGGGGGCTGGTGCTGCCTGTGCCAGAGGCAAACAGCCCCACTGGCCTTTGGGGGCGTGCTGCTGTGCCCCATTCCCTGCCCCTGAGGCCAGTCCCCCCCCAAGGGAATGAATTCCCTCTTTCTGGCCCATTGGAGACACCTGACCCGGAGACCCCAGAGCAGCTCTTCAGGGACCTGGACACCAATGCGGACTTCCCGGAATAGGTCACACTTGTCACCATGGTGCCTGGGGCCCAGTCCCTGCCCAGAAGGTGGCCATGTAGAGGTTGGGAGGGCAGAGGGGTCAGCCTTAGGACCCAAAGAAATCAATCCCTCCGCCCAAGCTTGCACCACACTTTGTAGGCCCCAATTAACCCAGACCCCCTCCCCAGGAGACAAGTGAGGCCTGAGCCTTTCCACCGCTGGGGAAACTGAGGCACAGAGGCAGGCTGTGACCCCCC